GATGGCCTCCAACCTAGAAGCGATGGCCTCCAACCTAATAGCAATGGCCTCCAACCTAATAGCCATGGCCTCAAACCTGAATAAATGTCGGATTAGGTACTGAGGGTCCGGATCAGCGACCAGGATCAGCGACTGCTGGATCAGCGACTACTGGATCAGCGAAGTTTTCTGGGGTCAGCGACCAATTTTCGCGGATCAGCGACCAATTTTCGCGGATCAGCGACCAAGAACTGTAGGATCAGCGACTGTCGGAGCGAGATCAGCGACCATGGATCAGCGAGATCAGCGACTCAGGGATTGTGAGGTTGTATGATCCGTTTGCAGCCATATTTGCATCCAACAAGATGGAGACTGTCTGAACGCTTTAAAGAGCTTGCAAGCCAAACAAGCACTTGGTGTTAAACTCATATCCGACGCTCACCCCGCAAACCTAGAAGCGATGGCCTCCAACCTAAGAGGAAGAAAGGAAGGACGCCTTTTCCAAAGGTCTGAAGGTCCAATCCAAAGGAAAAGAGTTTTCATCAAGAAATCACCTTCTTCCATGAACCTAAAATCTAATTTTTATGCTTTCCTTTTCGTTTGCTTTTTGGTTTCTCTTTCTTCAGGTGGGCTCCGCGGAGGACTTGCGGAAGCTCCTGGAAGCTCCGGCCGAAGCGCATCCCGTTGACACGGAGACGCGCGTCCCGTCGACGCCTCCCGCGACGAGTCCCGCGAGTCCGGCGGTGCACGCCGCGGACGTGGACATGACGCGCGAAGCAGAGTGCGAAGTGGAGCAAGGCCGTGAAGCGGAGTGAGAAAAAGAGGGAGTCCGCTCCTTGAATTTCTTGCTCACCCGAGAGGAAAAGAAAGACATGTATGGATCTTGTGCACATCATGGCTGTTCAGTTCTTGCCCAGACTGCCAAGGCCTGGATTGCAAGGACAGACGAAGGAAGTGCAGCCACGAGGGGCGCAGGCCTTGCGGTAGATTACATGCCAACGGAATGTAGAAAGTAGAAAGTAGAAACTGCCATACGTGGCGTTCAATTACGGGAGCACGCCCAGATTGTGCATCGCCAGGGGGAGCGGACATCAGGCCGTGAGGAGCTCATGTTGCAGTTTATAAGTTCAATAGACACGTGAGAGAGGAGTCGTTGGGCAAGCTTGCGCTCATAGATGTTTGCTTTTGATCAGGTCATTCAAAGAAAGAAGTTGCCGTGAAGAGCCTTGACCTTAGATTTGGAGGTCCATGGAAAACAGCTTTCAATACAGAGGAAACCAGGGCCGGGATTGTTTCGGGCACCAAGTAAAGTCAGCCCAGAAGCGCCAACACCTGTTCCTTGACTGCTATGCAGGACCAAAGCAAAAGCTGGAGGAATACTATGTGCAGCCCAGGTGATCTGGGACAGAGCGAAGTTGGCTCTTGATGATTTTGGAAGCTGATTAAGGCTTTTGCATTCCAGGGTCTTTTTGTGGATTCTGCAATCTTTTGTGCTTTAGATGAAACATCCTGTGAAAACCAAACGATCGCACCAACGATCACCTGCGATCACCAGACAACCGGACCTTGCAAACCACGAGCGGACGGAGATCTTGCGATTGTCCCCTATTTTTTGATTTCCATATTTCAAACAGCTATAGCGTGGCACTTGTTTCTACTAGCGTGGCACTTGTTTCTACTAGCTTTTTATATCACATTCAATAAGTCTTTTTTTTTTGACAAAAACCGCAAAAACCAGGTTTGCCGCCGGTCGTCTCTTCGCTGGCGGAACGACCTTCGCCTCACTGGCGGTGCAGAGCCCAAACCGAAAAACCGGGGTTTTGGGCTGGCACGGGTGTGGAGTTGGCTCGTTGGCCTCCAACAAAATCAGTGGAGGGCATTTATCTGACGAGGGATGACAAGTGGAAGTGGTGAGACTCAGAGACTCAGAGAGTTTTATTTAGTTCGTGTTTGACTTGATACCACGTTCTTGTGCAGAGGATGCGTGGATACCTCTGGGCGAATCACAAAGCTATGAAGTTGCGTTTCGATCTCGTCCGTCACAAGGCCAATACCTTCTACAATCCAACCTTGATTGATCTGGCCGCGCTCTCGGCGTCTCGTCGCGCCGCGATCTCGTCTCTCCTCGTTGCGCCTGGGTGGGTTGAAAATCCAAACCCATCGAACTGGCGAAAGAACTGGCACGACTGAGGTTAGCACCATGGTCACGAAGCGCTCTCAGGGGTTCACGAGAGCGTCCATTCGCTGTGTCCGTTCGCAGGTCCAGGTTGCCTTCGTTCTCACGCCTAGGACGCACATCAGAATGGTGAAGCTTCCTCACTCTTGGGCCGGGTACCCCGAATTTCGCAAGTGAAACGACGTGTCACACGTCAGTCTTCCCGAAGAACGACCCAAACTGCCCAACTTCCGCATGCAGACGTGTGCATTTGTCTGAGGAAGGGAAGTCCTATTTCGAGCTCTTTGACTTCCTCTTGTGGAAGGAGAAGCTCTTGGCCATCGGCATCTACCGAACAGCTTGGGGGACCTAGTCCAAACTCGAAGAGTGCCACCTTCACGCAGATTGTGTAAGAAGGCATGAATGTAAAAGATAAAGTGGCTGTGACCAACTGCTACGTGATATATTCCTGTGGGTCCTTGCGTACCATCGCCAATTTTGGTCGCGTCATGTTGTCAAACGGATGTGACCCCGTGCCTTTTGAGGCCGAAGTGACCACAGGAGGCGAGACTGAAGTGGTCATTTTAACGGATATTTGGCGAGAGAATCGCAGAATCCAAAGGAACTATGCTTCAAACTTCCGAACGATATTTCAGATGAACAAGGTGTGTCTCCAAACTTGGTAGGCGATGAGGATGACGAGGACCGACGCCTGCTGCTGAGCAACATCCGCAAACACTGACCTTTCGGAAGCTTTGGGGTGTTGCTTTCGTTTGCAGACAGCCTTGATAGCCTTGAGGTGGCAGTAAGCAAGGCCTTGTGGTCGGCTGAATGCTCAGACAAAGGAGAAGGAGGGCGAGGGGGAGAGGAGCAAGGTTGGGGGCAGGAATTCTCAGCATTGGACCGTACCACCCAAGAAAATGACACTTGGCCAGATTTTTGGTTCTGCCAGCCTGTGACCCAACTGTGGGCCGGATCTATTTTGGTTCTCCATCAAGTTTGGCCGTCGATCACAAGCCCTTGAATGTCCCAATGGAATGTCCCAATTGACATGTGTTTCCTTTGTTTGCTCGTCACCATCGTGGCTGCAGCCTCATGGTGGATTGGAAGACATTCCCAATGTAGGTCAGGCCAATGCGCAAAGCACATGGCTCACGGAGAGCATTCTTGGCTTTGATATGCTTTGATCCTCGTGTTCCCCACAAAGCAGGTCCCCCCGAACTGACAGAAGTCACGCCCCTTGCTTCCTCTTGAGGTCAAGCACGGCGGAAGAGCCTCTTGGGAAGTCTTCAGCCCAGCGACGGGGGTGAGTCCGATCCCCCTGAAGCACTTTCCAACAGACTTAAGAACTGTCAGCGCATGACAAAGCAGTATCAGTATCAAAGAACCATAAAGAACCACTGAATTCAGCAAGATTCGGCAAGCATTTTCTCTAAGACTTATTGAAATTGATCAGCTCAGCAATCGGAAATCTTGCAGACTAGTTCACGAAGTTGATGGCAATCTTCGCATTCGCCCTATTGTTGTCAAATCTTTGACGGTCTTTTGCCCTATTGTGGCGTTGTCAATCATCCGGCGGCCTCAGGCTCTGAAATGGCTGTACGAGCATCCAGACTTACGGATTCAAAGAGCTCCATGAAGAAGACTGTGAAGCCGTCCTTGCCGAGATTTTTTTCACACAAGATTCGATCACGTCTCGATGTCACGGCCAAGCCAACGTAGCGGGACCTCGGGGTGTTGGTTCTGAGCCTTCTCGCCAGGGTGAGCTTTGTGTACACTGCACCTCCAGGGAAAGAGACCGCCGCAGCCCGAGGGGATCGACACACCCTTTCGTCTGGGACCGGTCAACGAGAGAGAGAGAGAGAGACGAAGAGAAGGCTCCGGTTTGGGGCGGACACGACCATGTGGAAGATGTGGAAGTCATTTTTTTTGTACAATTGGTGTGTGGAAACATCGTACTCTTCACTTTCTTGGGCCCTTTTCAAGCTGCCGAGCCCCGGAAAAACCACTCACGCACGACCACGGACGTCAAGGCCATGATGCCAGGGGACAAGGTGATTTGCTTCGAATGTGGAAAGGACAGGGGAGATGACTGGCACTATTGCAGGGTTGGTTGGTTGGTTGGTTGATGGAGCGTTTGTCATTTGGATTAATTTGGGATAGTTTGAGGGACTCATGGCTTGTGTTGAGGCCAATGGCAAACGATTTTATCGAGGTTAAAGTACCCGTGCTTTGAAGCAAGCCGAGCCAGGACATGTAGCATGTATCCCCTCTTTGCGTGCCCTACGCGAATTCAGAAGTGAGTGCCGTGAATTCATGCTTGGACAAGTGTTTTCTTACAGACAGCAAGGTAACCGCTTGAATCGTGGACATACGCATTCATTCACTCTATTTGACATGATTTAATTCAGTCAAACAAGTTCAGTAGATCTGTCCAAGCCGTGAAATCAGCCAACCTGTGCACGCCTCGTGAGACACTTTTTGGTCTACCAAGACTTGCAAGTAGTTCGTTTAGAATGCCCACATCCCTAGTTTTGTCAGCTTTCCACTCACATGTGAGTAATTAAGCCAAATGTGTAGGAACGCACAATGCAATATTCCATCAAGAAGAGGCCTGACGTCCACAGATCAAGATTTTGAAGCATGGGGAGGTGTGGATAGGTTTACCAGGTGGCTGCTGATTTTGTGGTGGGGTAAGTCTAAGCTCCATTTCCTTGTAGCACTTAAAAGGAAGAATTCCTCCTTAGTCAGCTCCTCGGACAGAGTGATTCCGAGTTTTCAACCTGAGCTGCGAGCAGCTCAGCTCGAACTCTGCGTGTGATGCGTGTCACCGTGCGAAGTCGAGTCGGTTCACCATGCGAAGCATGTGGAACTCTCGACTCGATCGACGCCAGTCGACGCGAACATGTCGACCGAAAAGTCGTGCGTGTCGCAAGTCCGACAAGTCCCAAGCCGCTTCTTGTGTCGTGGGTTTCGACTATTGAAGTTCAAACTTTAGACTGAACGTTCTGCCCAGGCTGTCTCTAAGAGCAAGTTGCTTTGTAGGGCCTGAACATCATCTGGGCTGCAACGACCTTGTGGCTTTTCCGATGCTTTTTGCTTCTCAAGCCTGCACTGCGAAAAGCCGCACCTTCTTGCTTTTGCCATACCTCCTTTTGCAGGACCGGCTCATAAACGTACCAGGTAAGTCTTCTAATCACAGATGAATGGCACGTCCGGCATCGGCTAGGAGGGTACCCAACATATATGAACAAGATATAAGATATCCCATCGCTAGTAGGTTGGAGGCCATTGCTTCGTAGGTTGGAGGCCATCACTCATTTTCCGAGGGATTCTGCAAATACGCGGCCTCCAGGTCTCGGGAGGTGCAGCAAACGTTGCGGCCAGTGGCTTATCAAACGCTTGCTTCCGTATTTTTTCGGCACGTTTTGATATCAGCCGAGGGTTTTTCTGATGTTGCGTTTCTGTGCATAAGCCATGTTTAAGAGTTTTGTTGAGCATCTTCGCATTGTTGTTTTTTCTTTTCTTTTTTTAAAATCATTTCTATCATTTCACATGACAGAAGCCTTAGAGGAAGCACAAGAAGTGTATCGCAGCTTGCCAAGGTCTAGCCTATGTAGGCCATCCCAACGACTGCTTCGCCACGGAGGGATGCGCTGT